ACAGAAAAACAGTATTAAAATTAACAAAATTAATAGGTGGTTACTCAAAAAGACCAGTGAGGGGCTGGGGACTTAGCTCAGTGGCACAGCGCCTGCCTGGCAAGCACAAGGTTGTGAGTTCGGTTCCCGGTACCGGAAAAAACCACTCCCACAAAAAAGACCAGTGAAGTTGAAAATGACAGAAGCAAGACTGATCAAGAAAAAGAGAGAATTCAGGTTATCAATATCACTATAGGAGATATTACTACAGATACTACAGACATTGTAAAGGTAATAAGGAAATACTACGATAGACTTTACATACATAAATTTGATAACTTAGATGAAATAGACAACTTCCTAAAAAACCATAAACTACCATAATTCACTCAGTATGAAACACGTGATTTGAATAGTGCTGTTAACAAAATTGAATTTAAGGTGACTTATATAGCTATAGTAATCAGGACTGTGTCTATAGTGGATAGACACATAGACCAATGATACATAATTCAGAACCCAGAAACATTACCACACAAATATCCCTACCTAAATTTTCAAGTACAAACACAACTCAATGGAGAAAAAAATAACCATTTAAACAAATAGTGCTGAAGCAACTGACCACCTATAGGCCAAGGGGGCAGGGAGAATCTGCACTTTACATCTCCTAGAAAACATGGATCAACATCTTTAAAATGTAAAACTATAAAACTTTTAGAAAAAAATAGAAAATCACCAGAATCTGAGGCAAGGCAGGGTACTTAGCATGATCCATAAAAGGAAAAACTGATCAAATAAACTTTATCAAAATTAAAAACTTTTATTTTGGGAAGGACCATGTTAAGAGGATAAAAAGACAAGTTACAGATTGGAAATGGATAGGTATAAATTATACATCTCACCAAGCACTAGTATTTAGAATATATAAGGTATTCTTTTTTTAAAAAAGCTTCAAAACAACAACAGTAAAAAATAAAGAATCCAATCAAAACTGTACAAAAATGGGGTCCGGATATAGCACCTAGCAAGCACAAGGTCCCGAGTTCGACTCCTGGTACCAAAACAAACAAACAAAAAAAGAAAATGTACAAAAGTCATGAACTGACATTTCACAGATGGTAAGTATATGAATTGATGTTTAACATCATTAATCATTAAGGAAATGCAAATTAAAACCACCATAAGATATTACATACTTAAAATGGTGGCTAAAATAAACACAGGGACAACACAAAATGCTGATGAGGCTACAGAGCAACAGGATCACTTGAACACTATTGGTGGGAATGTAAAATGCAAAAGCCCCTCTGGAAAACATTTTGTTAGGGTTTGTTCGTTTGTTTTTTGAGATAGTGCCTGATTATGTAATTTAGGCTGCCTTCAACTCACTGTGTAGCCCAAGCTGGGCTTGAACTCAGTGATCTTCTGGTCCTAGCCTGCAGAGGGCTGGGATTACAGGCATGAGCCACCACTCACTTTGTTAGTTTTGTGATAAGGCTAAGCATGCAACTCCCACATAACCCAACATCTGTAATTCCTGAATTTATCTCAGAGAAGTGATAAGTTATGCCCATATAAAAACTTGTACATAAATATTTATCGCAGCTGTTTATAATAGCCAAAAATTAGAAATATCAGATATCCTTCAATGAGTGACTAAAGAAATGATAGTATATCCATATCATAAAGTATTATTCATCAATAAGGAATAAACAATTGATTATTCAACAAATTGGAGGGCTCTCCAGAGAAGTATGCTAAGTAAACAGATGCCAATCACAAAAGGTTACTACGAACCAAATATCTGTGTGCTCCCACACAAAAACATACATGTCAAAGCCAACCCCTAACATGTTGGAATTAGGAGGCAGGGTTATGGGGGAGTGATTAGGTCTAGATGAGATCATGAGAGTGGAGCTCCCATAATGGCATCAGTGCCCTTATAAGAAGAGAAAACTAATCTTTTCTCTTTCTGCCATATGAAGACACAAGTGTTATGGTTTGTGTCTGGATGTCTCCCCAAAGCCTCATGCAGTCATGGGGTGGGCTTTGAGAGTTTTTGATTGATCCATGGTACAATGCTGGGATTATGGGTGTAAGAGCTACATATGCTCTGGGGTGGGTAGTTTGCATACAGTGTAAGGGAGGGAAAGAGGCTTGCTCTCTGCTGCTCCTCCCTTTTTGCTCTTGTCGCTTTTGCTGTCTTCTGCCACCAAGAACTATCATGTGCCACTCTGCCTTGGAGCCAGCCAGGTATGGACTGAAGCCTCCACAAACTAAGCTAAATAAACTTTTCCTTCCTTAATTTGGGTGTCAGGTATTTTATCTCAGCAACAAAAAAAAAGTAACCAAGACAATAAAGAATCCTTCTACAAGCCTGGAAGAAGGCCCTCACTAAAAAGTGCATCTACCAGCACCTTGATCTTGGATTCTGAGGCTCCACCATTATAAGACATAAATGTGTAGTGCTTAAACTACCCTCTCTCTGGTATTTTGTTATGGCAGACTGAACTAAGACAGTTACAGACTTCCATTTATATAACATACTAAAGCCAGCAAGAGGGATCCTGTGGAGACAGGAATGTTTTGTCTTGACTGTGTCAGTGTTCATATTCTGCTTGAGATACTGTTTTAGAGTTCTGTAGGATAGTATTATTAGGGCTACAATTATCTCAAATTAAAAAGTATAGTAAGAAAAACAACTGCAGACACACATTTGTCTGAAGCATACTTTATAAACAACCGTATACATACTATGTGCATACACATGTAAAGACAGTTTAGGGAAGAAGTGCAAAATATGAACAATGGACAGCTCTAAGTGTGCTAATCTTTCAAATTTCCTGCCCTTTCTAAAGAAGACAATGAGGGAAATGGAATAATCTCTACTTTCTCTCCTTTGCTTTCCTATTTGATTTTGTTTCGTTTGCAGTACTGGGGACCAAACCCAGGGCCTCAAGCATGCTAGGCACCCTCTGCTGTTTTGGTCTCGTTTGAAATGTTCTGTATCAAGGTTAGTCCTATCTGGCTGAGCTCTGTGCTTCCATAAGCAACTACACCCTGAAGAAAATGGCAATGAACCATGTAGTAGTAGCCTCTCAGGTCTGACCTAATTTATTAAAACATATCTTGACGACTGGAGATACAGCATGTCATACGGTAAAATGTAACTGTGGAAAAAACAGTGTTATCATCACTGTGCTCAGCTTATTTGGAAAGCGGGCAGTTTCACACCTCTCTGTAGAAAGAAAATTGGTTTTTTGCTTTTCTTCTTAAAGCATGAATTTATCTACTTCTCTGAAATAGAAAAACAACTGAGTGACACTGCTGAGCCAGGAGGTAACTCTTAACTCCAGGCTGTTCTGGGAAATACAGATGTGTGCCTGGTAGTCAAGAAGACGGTTCCAGAGCCACACATAAAGGTTCAAATTACGGTACTAACAAGTTATAAGAACTGTCTAGACTTGGGTGAAAAATGGTGATGTTAATGGGATTGATGTGGGGCTTTCTGTGAGGATTTGATAGTGCAACAAACAAAGGCCTAAACACAATGTAAAAGGTCAGTACATTTTGCCATTATTATTAAGAATTTACTATTACTTTAGTAAGACAAAGTAACCAAAGCTTATATTTTACAAGAATGATTATTCACAAAATTATTTTAAAGTAATACACTGCTTTTGAATCTAATGAAATCATGGGAATCAAAGTCATACATCTATAACTTTATAACATTCTAAAAATTTGCAAATTATGATTCCCTTATTTATTCTGGTCTAGAGACAGTGTGGTGTCATGGAATAAAACCTGTTACTTAAAATCCAGAGTGAGGCCTAGACTCTCCCACTTTCGGGGAGAGCACTGAACCTGTCTGAGTCAGCTCTCCCATTTTAAAGTATGAGATAATGTCCTTTGTAGGACAGGACTGTAGAAATTAATGTGGAAAATCTACATAAGAATATTTCATAAAATTAATCCACTGTGTGACATCACCAAAGATAAGTTTTCATATTAGTTGGATGAAATGTCATATATTATAATGAAACCTGTGAATTTGACAGAAAAGTTCTGAAGATAATATTAAATAGCTAAGAAAAAAATAGAAGATTTTTAAAAATGGAGCCACTGAAACTAAAATTTCTAATATATATTTACACAAAATAAAATTAAAATGCATATATTCCTCAAATATTTCCTTAAAGATATTTGTAGAATTTCAGGTAGCCTTACATTTGTACCTCAGAATCTGCCAGCCTTTTTCTATATAGGCCAGAGAAATATGGCACTTATAAAAGTAGGGTCAAAAGGCCTTGTTTGCTCTAACATGTGTAATACAAACATTCTGAGTTTGGCTGTTGGCATAGTTAGTCCTTCCTTCTCTGCCAATCTGTGCCTCCTCTGGCCTGGGAAGTGCAACTGCTACCGTGTATATCACCCAGGTGCAAAACCTCTTACCTCCTTAAGCTGCCCATCTGCTCTGTCTTTAAATCTTAGTCTTCCTTCTCCAGGGCAAAATTCTTCCACCCCTCCTGTCATTACCACACTTTAGGCACTCATTACTCTCTGCCTGTACTAACAGCATCACCTCTCAACTAACTGTCGTGCCTCTAACCTCTCTGCTCTTAGAATCCCGTTAATCACTGCTAAATTAAACACTGATTTTGTTGCATTATTCCCTAGTCAAAGACTTTCCCCAGGGTCCAAGCTCCTCAGCTTGGTGTGCAGGCAGAGACTGGAAGCTGAATCATCAGTCACCTGAAAATCTAGAAGTAGCCTGACTGTCGCAGCAGATGATGTACCACCACTGACATTCACAGAACAAAGGTCAACATTAAGTTCACTGGGATCTATGTCCACACAAAATGGAGAGGCAGGTCAAAAAGTTAGAGAGAGGCTTAAATTAAAGGAGGCAAAGAACTCAGACATTATTTTTATTTAAGTACCCAGGCAATTATTGACTTGATACTCGAAACAGCCAACCACGGGACAGTGTGCCCTGAAAATGGAAGAAGACTTACCTGGTAGAGGCAGGCTGCTGTTCCAAGGAAAAACGCAATGATGTAGTTAAAATCCTCACCATCACTCTAAAAAACAAAATAAAAGATTTCTTTTTTTCTGCTGGGACTTTATTTCCAAAAAATAATCCACCAAGCCAGGACATGATAACAGGTGTGCACAGGCAAAATTTTTATGAAGTGATATATGAAAGTCTCTAGAGTCCTAAGATGGAAACATAAAATACATTACAAGATCCAAGGGATGGCAGGCTAGGGAAGACTACCGATACTTCTCTGTGTTTTGGCTGTCCCCCTCAATTTCATTTCACCTGAGAGAAAAATGAAAACCCCTGGGGGAAGTTCCCCATAATGCAATAAGCCTCTTTTTCCTGCTAAAGAAACCACATAAAAATGCATGAACTTACTCCTGCTCATGAGGGTCACTACTTGACTCATAAAAATTGACAAACTTTACTATCGAGGAAGCACATCACTGAATTGTCCAATAAAGTAAACTGACATTTTAGAAAAACGGAAAACTGAAAGGTTACTGTCCACTAGAGTGTGCTAAATCCCAGTGAGAAAAATCAGGACTAGTCAGCCACACGAGCAATTCTAGAAAACAAGCACCCAGAGGAAAACCAAAGCTGGATTGTACATGAAACATTTCTTTAAAAAGAAAACGAATGAAGGCATGAACCACCAATGCTTTTCTATTTGTTCTTGGTTCCTCTTAAATATACATATCCATCAACTTTTTTCAGTGTAGTTATGAAGTAGAACATTAAAAACTGAGATAGGGTTAAATTTTCTTAACACAGAAATATTAAATTTGGCCCCTTTCTTATCTCAGAAAAAAATGAATTTATACAATGAAAATTTCCACAAGACACAGGAAGGTCTCTCATGACTATGTCTAAGATAGGATAGAGAGGAAATTCCTTTGGCCCTGCTTATTGGGCCACAGAACTGTGTGTGCAGCAGAGAGTGAGTGCCTTGCTTATCCTAGTGAGATCCTAAAATAGGAACTATTAATCTGTCTGGATGTTCAGGCTAGTTCTACCTCAGAGGCTGGGAAGGTCAACACAAAACTTCCGCACTTTAATAATTCTAAGACCTTAAATAAGTTCCACTTGATTGTTTTTTTAGTCCTTTATTTTTTAAATGACCTTTATTTCTGATTATAAAAGTTCATGTTCATGGGAAAGAATGTGGAAAATATACATTATACAAAGAAGAAATTCACAACCATTAGTCCTTTCATGTATTTCCTCCTTCTCTCCTCTCTTGTCTCCCTCTCTCAATCTCTACACGCGTACATTTTAAAGAAATGGAACAACACTTTTGTATGCTGGCTTTTAGTACTTCATATTATAATATTATATCAGAAACCTTAATACTGTATTCTAAACTGTAAATATTATATCATAAACACTTTCCAAGATAGTCAATATTCCCCAAGCACAGCATGTATGATTTCACTACAGGATATACCGTAATTTAATCACTGTCCTTTTTGGATATTATTCTCACTCTAAATTTACAATATCATTTAAAACTCTTTAATTACCTTTGGAACAGACAGGTTAGAGCATCTTTCTAGAATCAGCCCTGTGTTGAAATCTTTACTTATAGCTGTATTATTTCAGACCGATCATTTAACTTACTTTGTTCTTTTGAAAACTAAAAGTTGTACAGATCAAGTGAAATAACATGTGCAAATATGAAGGAACTGGTACACAGTAAGCGCTCAAAATCCTTCACTAAGTCACTTACTGTGGTTACTGTCTCTATCACTCATCTGATAATCACATTATCTTTCAGTATTGCTTACATTTTCAGTGTACTGACCCTACCTCAGTTAGATTTTTTTTCTTTTGAGATAGTCTCCCTAAGCCACTAAGTTACTTAGGTTGGGCTCAAACTTGCAACCCCCCTGTGTCAGCCTTCCAAAGTGATGGGATTATAGTTGTTTGCCTAATTTTTCTTGAAGGCAGAAAATAAATCTTAGTACTTGCATGAAACTGTGTATATAGTAAGAATTCAATAAATACAGGCTGACCTGAATTGGGCTTTGAAAATCTTTAATTCTACTTGATAAAGATGGTCTACAAACATATTCTTCCATTCATTAAGCACTTATGAGCCAAGTACTATGTTACCAGACCTAGCACAGAAAGCAATTAAGTCCTTACCAACTCAAGGAGCTCACTCTCTAATTACTAAGGCAGAGCATAAATCAACCATTTCCACTCAGCCTGGTAACTGATAAGTGTATGTAAAGTGGATGGTGTGGGGCTCACTGGAGATGTATCTAATTCTGCCTGGAGAAGAAACAGTCAGCACGTTTCCCAAAGGGAGTCAAGCTTGACCTGGATCTCAAAGGATGAATAGGGAGACAAGGCAGGAGCAGAACTTGGGCAAAGTGGGTAACGTGCAGTCTCAGAGAGGGCACAGGCTAGGATGACTCCAACATTTCTTCTTTAGGCAATGACTGAATGGCATCCTGTACTAAGCTGGGATTATAGGAAGACAGAGAATTTGAGAACAAAAATATTAAACTCATTCTAGACATACTGTTTTGGAGTTGCCAGTGAGACCGCCAAACTAGTAGATATTTAAGTCTGCTTTAGGAAATCTAGTTTGGTAGTCATATACCTAAACAGTTGTTAAAGGAAGGCCCCATGACAATCAAGTACAAGTCTTAATTCTTGGCTGGCTCCTAAATGTGGGGGAGTGGAGTGGGAGGAAAAGGGGAAGGCAGAAGTGCGGAGAAAACTATAAAGAACATCTGGAGGCAACTGTGGAAATGCGAATCCAGATTTTCTACTAGACAGTACTGTATCAATCTTAAATTTCTTTAGTGTGAAAAGGGTATTGCGCTTATGTAAGAGCATGTCTTAGCCATTAAGACATACATATTGAATAATATCTGAATGAGCTGTAATGATACTTGTAGTTTTACTTTCAAATGATACAGCAAAAAAGAGAAACAAAAAGGAAGAAAGAAAGGTAGGTATACAAGTGATGTTAACTGCATTGTTCTTTAAATAAAATTTTCTGTGGGCTTGAACCCTTTAAAGATAAGGTGTTGTACAGCATGGAGGAAAGACGAGCACAAAGGAAAAAGTGTCACGTGGCCACTGAAAAGACAGGAATAGATCTTTATGTACTGATATGATGTGATCTACATACTGTTTAGGGAAAGAGATGCAAATCAGTATTAAGACTAACCACCACTTGTATAAAATAATTTTAAAAGAATAATTACAAAGCTGGGTGCAGTGGCGCATGTCTGTAATCCCACTGCTCAGTAGGCTGAGGCAGAAGGATCACTGCAAGTTTGAGACCAGCCTGGGCTACAAAGTGAGCTCAAGGCCAGCCTGAACTGCATAGCAAAACCCTGCCCCCTCCCAAAAAATAATAATTACATAAATATATACTGAGACGAATGTATCTAGCACGTAATTTCTCTACAAGGATACACAGGTAGTTGACTCTAAGGAGAAGAAATGGGAAGAGAATTACTTCAAGGTGAAAATTATATAATCAACTTATACTGCTTTTCAAATTACCAGGTGCAGCGGGTAGAGGTGTAGCTCAGAGATACACTCTATGGTTAGTGTTTGTAAGGCTCTGTTTCAATCCCCAACACGTCTCCCCAACAAAAAAGGAAGGAAAGAGTTAGTTTACCATGAGCATATTTGCTGTGTATATGTGTACACTTAACTTTTTTGGAAAGCCACTGTGGCTGGGCATGGTGGAGCACACCTGTAATTCTAGCACTCAGGAGGCTGAGGTAGGAGGATTGCAGTGAGTTTGAGGCCAGCCAGGGCTACAAAGTGAGTTTAAGGCCAGCCTGAATTGCACAGTAAGACTGTCTCAAAATGACAAAATAAATTGCCTCCTCAGTATTCTATAGCCATGACGAGGAGGAGGCCAAGGGGAGAAAACAAAGAGACTGAGAAAAAGCAGGTGCTTTTGCTGCAGCACTAAGAGAAACAGACCCCAAATCTGATTCCCAGGGCCCCAAGAAGAACTTGACTGCATTCATCTGCTACCACTGTTAAAAGCCAGGCCACCTCAAGAGGAACTGCCCTAAGAGGCCCCATGGGCCATGCCCTGAATGCAAAGGTGACCACTGGAGATCGGTCTGCCCTCTGAAGTGGAGGCCCCAGAGCTCAGACCCATCCCACCAGTTAGTCCAACAGGAATGAGAGGGCTTGGGGCATACTCTGCCTTCTCCCTCTGGCCAGACCATCATCTCCATGGAGGAGCCCTGGGTAATCATGACTATGGAGGAACAAGAAGCCTAGCCTGATGCTAGACACAGGTGCAAGTCTCTCAGTCCTTCTTTTCAATCCTGGCCTTCCTTCCAGCCATCACACCTCAGTGACAGGAGTCACTGGTGAGGAGGTAATATGCTATTTTTGACAACCCTTAGGCTGTAACTACTTGTTAGATCCTTCTTGCACATCTCTGTCTTCCTGAGAAACCACTTTGAAGATACCACCGTGTATTACAGCAGCCATTGATATTTTCCTACTAATCTATCCATAACTCTGTAATGTTTGTATTGTTCCTATCCTATTTTGTAAATGGATACATGTTTATTATTATGTGTTTCCTACAATATCCATTGAGAATAGTTAATGATTATTCAATAGGTCACTCATGTATAGCTCTATTTATTTTCTTTAGAAGCCACTTTGAAGATACCAAAGTATAGTTCAACAACTATTGATAATCTCCTACCTCTTTTGTCTGTAACTCACTATTATTTGTCTATTTGTTTTCCTGAGAAACTATCTTGTAGATAACAATATGTAAAACAATAACCATTGATAATTTCCTACCACTTTGTCTGTAATTTGGTAAGCCCCCCATTATTATGTTATCCTTCTTTTACTCTTTAAAATAAAAAAAAGACAAAATAAATAAATAAGTAATTAAAAAGTAATTGTGAAAGTATCCAAAGAGAAGATGAAGAGCTAGAAGACTATAAAGCCAGGGACAGAATAATGGAGAATGCCACATTCAAAGCAGAGTGGAAGAAGTTTATCATATAAATTGAACAACAGGAAGAA